ACATCCATGTTTCTAAAAGAACTCTCTTAGTTTGATAAAGTTCTTTCCCAAAGTATTGCTTATTAGTAAAAAACCAGAAATTAGAATATGTTGGCACAGAGATGCCCAGAGAGACCACATGATTAGGTGGTGTCAGAAACTGTTAAATACATAATAATGAATATAAAATTGATTTATCTTCATGTTTTAGCCATAAGAATTACATCTCCTAAGTTTTGGCTGCAGGGTAATACTCAATTCATTGGTGATAATAAGCAAACATACTTACTCCCTCTCCCTGTCCTAATATACTTAAGATACTCTTGTGTCAAAAAACAGTAAGTAAGGTTAGAAACCTTCAAATAAACATAGAAAGGCTGTAGGAAGAAACTGACTTTTGAAATCAAAAAGAAACTGAGTTCTATTATTTTTTTAGCCTTATACAGACATTATTTATTGATACGAGTTTAAGTTAAATGACCATAATGAGAGGCTCTCAGCCTTATCCAAAAAATCCACAATTTAATCAAAATATTAATTCAAAATTATGAATTATTCAAAGTAATTATCAGAGAGAATTCTTAAAAGGAGCAGGGCATATCAAATATATTTTTCTCTTGTGGCCAAATAACAATCAAATTCTAAAGAGTCCATATAGTGGTCATATTTGGAAGTGTGCAGCAGCACAAACAAGCCATGACATCCTGCCCAGTACAACCTGCACTTTGAAGAGGAGGAACCAACTGCACATCTGCTGCTGAAATTAGGAGAATTCTCACATGTGAAAGAAGAATTACATTAATAAAGCAGGTGGAGAAAATAAGAATAAATTATGGCAATCTAATGTACACAGAATCATAGAATGGTCTAGGTTGGATTGAACCTTTAAATGCCATCTAGTTCAACTCCCCTGCATGAAGCAGCAACATCTTTGACTAGATAAGGTTGCTCTGAGCCCCATGCACATCATATTTAATGTTTAAAAAAGGGGGGAAAACAAGAAATACTACTGTTGATGTTATCAGCAAAGAGGAATGAAAGGAACATTTTTCACCCAAACCAGCATCAAGGCTCACAGCAATACTATGATTTTTCAACCTTGAAAGCAAGTCCATCATTACAGCTGAAAAAACTATTTCAAAGATGCTGCCAGGCAAAGGTGTCTTCAACACAGCATTGTCTGACAAGTATAGTCCACTCAGAAGCACTTTAAAAAACAGCAGGCAGGAGCTCTTTTATCAAGAGAGCATTTTATTGCACAAAAAAAATACACATTCCTTCCAAAATTTCATACTGCCCCATGTAGCAATAAAATACTTCAGTAAGTAATTATTTTCTAATAATCTAGCATGCAATTTAAAGAATTGATTTTCTTCTCTGCCGGGTCCCTACCAGCAGCAGCAAATAATCCCTCCCCATGTGCCTAATTCATCCAATAGAAATGGATGAAGCAGGTATTCACCAGAACAGGTTCAGAGGATCTGTCTTCAGATACACTATCAAAGCCCACAGAAAGAGGCTGAGGTAATACAGCAGGCAGCCATGGTTACATCTTTGGGCCTTTGCTTGCTCTTTTATAAAGAAACATGCTTCCAGCATTCCCAGTGGTTTGGAGGAACATAATTGCATGCTATTACTTAAGAACTATGTGATTACTGTGCCACTGCCTTCCGCATAACCCAGCCTGTAATAAAAGTGATAAGAATAGCATTTATTATTTCTGAAATGGTTTCTGCATTGCATTCACACTGATGTGGTTTAAAATGCCTGACTAAACTCAAGACACTTTGCATAGAGGTTTTGTTTTCTTCTAACAGTGCTGTACACCATGAAAACTCCATTCTGTGTGCAGAGACCTGACCAGGTCACAGCGCTTGAGCAGAACTCTCAAAGGCTGAGGCAGAAATGCTCTATCACATTGCTATAACCAAGATGGATTTAATGCAAAGAAAAGTCACAGAAGAAAAAGCATAACCAGAAGCTGCAGGAATAGAAAGTGACAAGTACAGTTCAGCCTCTGTAGTTATTACAGAATGTAACTGCAGTGAGAACTAGAAAAGTCAAACTATCCCATCACAGCTGCTAAAGGCAAACAAGCCACGTCCCTTTCATAAGTGCATCAATTGCTATAGAAAATCTGACTTCAAACTTCAGGAACAAAATAAATGCATGAATAGAGAACTTGAAGTTGATCACTCTTTTCTTCCTCAGACCTACAAAAAGCACTCAGAACCTTTCTAGAAAACAAGTTTGATAATATTTTATTTGAGAGAAGCTGAAGATGATCACTTTCTGAATCAAAAAGTATTTTCAGTGTGCAGTACTAAAACACTGTCAAGTGCAGACATGGTTTCAGTTTTCTGGAAATTCCCTCCTCCTCAGAGCCCTAAACTTAACCCCCCTCACTCATCTCCTCTACATCAAGAAGTAACTTCATTTTTCAGCAAGCCTGGCAATCCTCTCCTCCCCTCAAAAAAAACAGTGAAAGGCTACCCCTACCCCAAAAACCAATGTTTCAGGACTTCAGAGATATGTCAGCACATCAGATCCAAAACTACAAATCACTCATTTCAAGGATCCATTCCAAGTAGTACAAGAAAGTTTTATACTATGCACATTTATGGAGAGGAAGCAGAAGAGAAAATTCCCATCAAGAGTTTGCCCCAAGAGTTTCAGAAACTTGGCCTTAAGCCAAGCATCTCTTCTGTTTATATATTTGTTATGTAATGTAACAAACGGAAAAAAACATGGATATTTTGGAAATATATCAACACACAACTTTCAAGGCAGTTCCCATTAAACAGTTACAACAAGCTGTTACAAACAAAACCTTAAAGCAACTATAGATTAACACAGTGTTCTTCTAAAAAGGGACAATGATAAAAGGGCTGCTGTTGTCACAAGATTAAGACAAGGGTTGATCTACACTGCTGTTTATATCAAACAAGAAGAGAATGAAAAAGCAATTCTACATTCAATTTCACATTGAATTCATATTGTTTACATGTTTTCCATGCAAACTCTGGCAAAAGCACAATAATGCTCGGAGACTATTTTTTTCCCTAGAAAAACCAGTAGAACAAGCAAGCATGTAAGAAGCAGGTGCTACCTCTACATACTACACACAGCTCATGCCTGTACAGCACATACTTACACAATACACAAATACTAACATGCAATCACCACCAATCAAACTATTTTCTTTCCAGTATACAACCCCCTCAGCATACAATTTGGTTTTCCAACAATTTGGTTCAATATTAAACAAACTCAACTTCTAGATTTCCAAACTATTATCTCGTATTGCAGCATGTCTGCTGAAATTCAACTTTGAAAAAGAAATGAGATTAAAAAATGCCTTGCTTGGGATGACAAGCTGAAAGTCATTCTTCTAACCACACAGAGCTTCCCTACCATGCCTATCCCTTTCACATCTGCTACTGAGTCAGCTGATGGTTAGAATGGTAATTCATGCTATCAATTCATGGTAGTTTCATTCATCAAGTTTCCTTCACTTCTTTAACTGATATCAGGATATAGGTGCTCACACAGACCAGTGTGAAATCCACTCAGCAGCAGCCATCAAGTAACAAAGTTAAACAGCAATAACACATGACACCTACCACACATCTGAGGCACCAGCTCTGGGACAGACACAACAACCACGTGTTGTCTCTGTATACAGGAAGGCATAAATGCCCTCATGTGCAGCAGTAGCTGAGAATTTAGATTCATGTTATCACACGTCTGCATGCAGGTATAACACCTGCTGTTTTATGGGACAAGAACAAGGGACTACACATCTCCTGCTCTGCTGCACAACACAACTGTGTCCAGCAGGCAAACGGGGACACAAGGGCATGTGGAGGCTGTATGCTGAAGACCTTAGCAATACACTAATGTTCCTCTAATGCGGGTTTACACCCTTCTACCTAGTGACACCATGTAAAGAAGGGATTAGGTTCCATCACCTGGGATAAACAGGAGCAGGAAAACTCACATGACCCTCTGAGGTGGGTCTGCCTCCCTAGGTGAGAAATAAGTGTGCCTTTTTTCATGTTGGAAAAAAGGTGTGAGAGCAAGTTAACACAGACTGAATACATGTCCCCTCACCACTCCTGCCTGCAGGGTTGTCAGGCCTGTCCCCTTGCAGATTTATGTAATGATGGTGTCCCCCACTGTAGAGTACATACAGTGCCTGTGATGATGAGGATTTCTCTCTACATTTGCCCTGGAAGATAGCATTGCACAGAGCTGGCACTTGTGGCTACCTGACTGTAATGACACTAAGGGGCACATCAACCCCAGTGCTGAACAAGTGGCATTTATGAGAGGTAGCATGCTCCCCGGGGCATCTGCACAGCAAACAGTCTTCCTATGGACATGCCTCCCCTGTGGCATGCAAATAGGCGACACGTTGAGAGGCACACGAGTATCTCAATGTGGTTACATACGGACTTGCATCCCCTCCGTGCCAGGTGGGTTCACCCGCAAGCAGCAGGACACAAGCAGCAGGTATCCACCCTGGCACTGTGTGTGCATTCTTGCCGCGGCTGAATCAAAGGCGGGCTGGCTGCCACCGCAAACCTCAGCAGTCAGGGAAGGGTGGCACAGACACGCACATCCCCCAGAGAGAGAAGAGGACAGGTGCGAGCAAGAATTCCCCACACATTCCCCCAGTGTGCCAGGGGAGAGGCAGCTCTGCCTCACCAAGCGCCGAGCGGGGGGATGGAGGGGAGCGTGCACAGATCCAGCCATATGGAAGCAAACACCTACCTCATACACCAAGGCGGGGGAATAAAGAAAGCACAGGGTCCACGGAGAGATGGGGGTGGCCTCGGCTTCCGTGCGGGGACGGGCCCCGAGGAAGGCGAACCAAAGGGTGGGGAGTGGGTGCTCGCCCACTCGCGGGAGGTCGGGGGGCACCGCGGGGGCGGGGAGGGCATCCCGGGCCATTCAACAACCCCGCCTTCCGCGCTCCCCGGCCGCCCCCGCCCTGCGCGCCGCTCGCCTGGGCTCACCTGCCCGCACCGTGTCGGAGAGGTCGTGGCTGAGGGCGGCGGCGCTGCGCGGGAACTCCTTCAGCTTCCTGCCGCTCAGGTTGAGCCCCCCGGAGTGCGCCGCCTCCTCCAGCGCCCGCTCCAGACCGCGGGTCAGCGGCGCCTGCAGACCCAGCGCTCCGCTGCCGCCGCCGCCCACCCCGGCTACCGCCGCCAGAGCAGCAGAGGGGAAGGGCTGCGACTCGCCTCCCAGCGTCGCCATCTTTCCCTCGCCGCTGGGGCTACCCGAGAGGGCCACCGGACCTGCCTCCCTCCTTCCCTTCTTCTCTCCCTCCTTCCCCCTCCTCCTCCTCCTCCTCCCGCTCGCGGCGGCGGCGGCGGCAGCGCGAGCAGGGGGCGGAGGCGCGCGGCCCGGGCGAGGCGCGCCCACTGCGCATGCTCCGCCCCTCCCGGCAGCGCTCCCCCCCGCGGCGCCACCTAGCGGCGGCGCGCTAGTCCCGGCCCTGGAAGTGCCAGTGGGGAGGCGGAGAGGGGGCGGCTCTCCATTGTTTCCTTGCCACAGCATTCCTTGGAAAGCTAGCCCGGGAGGCCTGCCCGCCGCCGACTTGGGCCCCTTCTGCGGGCAGCCGGTGGAGCTGTCCCCCGGCAGGGCCCGGGGCTGGATGGGAGGCGGTGGGCGGTGTGAGCCTGCAGGTGTGCCGGCAGCAGCGTGTGCGGGCTCGGCTCTCCGCAGTGGGAAGTTAGAGGCTGCAGCGGCCGCTGCCACCGAGCGAGGCCTCGGGAGCATCTGCCCTGCAGAAGGGCTTTCTGTGCCGTGCTTCTCCCGCAGCGGCCGGTGCACACCTGCTGTGGCTCCTGCCCCAGAGGGACTCTCGGAGGATTTGTAGTGACAAACCAAGCGTAGGAGCCACCATCCGTTCAGTTTCCGCTGGGATGACCTTTCCGAGCGGTGAGGGTGATGGGTTTAGTTTATTTGCCCTTCCTCTCTGCAGCTTGGCCAAGTTAAGCCCAGGAGATGCAGAGGACCAAGGCCAGGTGTTCCCACAGGGGTTACAGAGTTTAAAGTTAACACAGGACTTGTACAATGTCACCCCTGACCTGTGCTCTACAGACCATTACATTCACTCACTTATCCTGAGCCGTGATCAATGGTTAAACCAAAGCCTTCCCAGCTCCAGGAAGTGAAACGCTGAGTGCTACAGGGACAAGGAAGACCTAACTGGCACAAGGAAATAACCCCAAGTTCCTCAAGAACAGGAGACATCATAGCGAGTTTAGCAGTCACAACCAGAAACAGCACTGGGGAACGAGAATAGGAGAAAGGGTGTTAGAGGTGGACCTTTTCACATAAAAATAGCATCCATTAAAAACTTATTCTTTATAATTAAGATATTTTCTCAGTAACAGAATTTTTCATTTTTCTTTTATATGCATTGTGTCACTGCAAAAGTGTCAGCAAGCAGCAGTGTTTTTAAAGAGATGCCTTACATTGAGGAAAGAGCTGTAGGGTAGATGGGTAAAGGATGTTATTTTACTGTAATTACATTTATAATGCACCTAAAATACAACCCCTGAACTTAATTTCCAGTGCAAATTCCCCTCACACCTACTACTGCTACCCGAGCACCTACTACTGCCTGTTCTTTATTTTGATGGAGAGATCTTAGTTTTTAGCATGACTAAATCAGTGTACTACCAGTTCAAGAAAATTTTGGATGCACCAGAAAGTAAGCCTTGACAGCATTCCTTGGAACAGTCCCTACCCAAAGTTAACCAACAGTTACCACAACATTTGTGCCCAGATATCACATTGCTTTTGACAAAGCTTGTTGGTGGGTTATGAAGATCATATTACCCACAAATTTCCACTAGTCACAGCATGCTTTGGTTTTGTTAAAATGTTTAATTCCAGTTTGCGTGTAATCTTTGCATTGCTGCTGGAAAGCATAAAGAAATAGATAAATAGCTACATCTTCTCAGCAATTTGAAGAAAAGTGTTGATAAAAAGTAAGTAATAAAAACATTATTCAATTCAAGTTGAATAAACTGTGAATAAGAACAAACTGCTAGGCTCTCCCTATATTTTTAAATGGAATTTCTTAAATGCAAGTTTAATGAACTAAGTACTACATTCTTATACACTTAAATAAATCTGAAATACTGTAGATTTTGTAACTCAGTAAATGACTTTGCATGGGAGATTTCCTGTGTATTAAATTACCCAGCATTGTGGAATTTTATTTGGAAATTTTAAATATAGAACGAAACGTTCAGGCAGCATAGATGAAAAATTTCTCTTCCAGCATCAGGTCTTTACAGTCAGGAATCAGGCCTGTCTTCTGGTGAGGTTTTCTCACCAGTGGAACACCATGTCCCTTCCTCTCCCACTTCTGGTAAGACATTATTTCTAAAAATGATTTTTATTTAAAAAAAAAAAGATGGTTTTATTTTTCTCTTCATTGACCTCACACCATAACACCAATCCTGAGAACTGATTCACAGCATCTCACTGAAGGGAGATTAGCAGTGATACCTTTCTCAGCCTTATTTGAAGGACAACTCATCCTCCTTTGCAGGAGGTACCCAAATCCCAGAGGAGCCACCAGGTTACCCTGCTTGCAGGCAGACACCGTGTGCTCACCTTGCCTGCCCTGCTGGGCTCACATGAGGGGCTGTGGCTGGCAAAGGCAGACAAGTCAGCACAGCCTTCCCTCTGAAGACATGCAGCATGAGGACAGCTAGGATTACAGAAAGGCTGAGGCTACACGGGCACTTGGCCTAGCAGGGGTTAAAGATGTAGGTTTGACTTTATAGGAGTGCAAGGGCACACAGTAATAATCAGGGATCAAGACTGATTTAAACTGCTTTTTGATCTGAGCAGCTGAGCTGCAATGCAGGCATGACCTGTGCTTATCACACACTAAGTTCAAACTCCTAGAAGTAATACAATGAAAACAGTCCATGTTACCAAGATTGTAGAAAGAAAAAAAAAAAAGCAACAAAAAAAAAAAAGCAAACAACAACCTGCAAAACCTGCAGAGAGCTGAGGCTGTACATTGCCTTCACTTTCTCTCCTCTCTGCCTGAGCACTGTGCCAGATCTAACTCTGTTCCTATAGATACAAAGGATTAGAAACTGGAAGCACTACAGAAAACAAAAAGACCAATCACACCAGCACCAGTTTCCTATCTATGCAGGTGCATTTGGAAGGTCACACTCCATATTTTGGCTTTGGTCAGATCACTAAGTGGGCACATCCTGGCACAGCAGCTAAACTAAGCTAGTGTCAAGGTGTCACTGCAAGCAGGCGTCCTTCCATTCCTTGCCCCCACTAGTTCCTATGTGACAGTATTTGCATTTGTTTGTCTTCTCTTCAATAAGACCTAGAACAGCTTAAAAGGAGCAGCTCTAGGAGGAAAGGAATGCAGAAGGAAGTCTTTATGGATGGTATCAGAAGACAGGTGACTCTTCTGCCAGTCACACATAATGGTTGTGAGAAGAAAACTCACACCAGAAATGCACAGAAAGTACCACAGCTAAGGAAGACATGTGCCTTAGAGTTTCAGAGTGAATTTCTATGATTCTAAATTGGCAGAAAAAAGGCAAATGGCAAGGCCTATGTGCCTTGTGAAGATCAGAGTTGGGTGGGGACTTATGTCCAGGGAGTTGGTCCCTCACAAGATAGCATGGGACCTCAGTGTGAGTACCTGTCCTGTGCTAGACATGGCACTTTCACAGCATGCATCAGGAGAGCCTTACTTTACCTCAGCATGAAGATATTCACCTCATGCTCCATGTGCTCCAAGAAAACGCTGAAGAAGGAATTGTGTGAAGTAGTTCAGACACAGTCAGGGTACACCAGTGCTTTCTTCACATGAGTATCACAGGTGGACAAGGCTGTCTGGTCTGGAGACAGAAACAACACATGCATTAAGTAAGACATCAAACAGAAAGTGTGTGGCACTCAGCCTGCAAGGCTGCCTCTGCCTCTGGTGCCTCACAAAACAGCAGCAACAACTCAGGACACATTATACATCCTTGGTAGCTTCACAAACAGCACCAGGACAAAGAAAATTACTAGAGGAATCTCAAAAGAAAAAGTATGCAGACTGAAGCATCAGGTGGCACAGAGTGAAAGATGTTCCTTTCCATTAGAGCACAGACTCCCTACACTGCTGACAGCATTCTGGGACGAGCAGTTCATAGCAGACACACCAGAAGGATTAGTAGCCTACACAGAGCAGAGCCACCAGAAGAACAGAAGAATGAGTGGCCTACGCAGAGCAGACAGTGCACTGGAGCTTCCTTGCAGCGAAGCTGGGGAAGGAAGTTTGAAAGGCAAGGAAGCTATATCAGGAAATAGCTCAGAAAAATCCATCTACAGACCACCTACCTATCAGAATACTCAGAAAGAAAGAAAATAAAAAAGGGTGAGGGGAAGAAGAGAACAAATAATTAATGGGAGACAAGATCAGGGGGAAGCTTACAGATAAAGCAGGAGCTCAGAAAGGAGAAAAGCAGGATAGTCACTGCTCAGAAGACAAATAAAGTTCATCCTTACATAGACTCAAGCAAGCTCATTATATAAGGGAACAGAATTATTTAAATGCTACAGAAAAAGAAGCACTTCTTGGTGCCTGCCACTGATTGTGACAAGCATTGGGAGCTCAGGAAAGCATCTCCCTCACTGTGTCCTGAGACCTAGCAGGTGGGCAGGCTCAAAACACACCTGAATGATGGTTGGTGGGACTCAATTGCCACAGGATGGATATCAAACACCCCCGCATACACTGGGCAAATTGGCAAGGTTCACTGCCACTGTCATGGTAGTGATGCTCTGCACAGACACTGATGCAAGAGGAGAGAAGCTGCAGAAGATCATGTCCACAAGCTCAGTTCTCAGCCAACTGGTCATGAATATAGAACTGAATGCAAACTAAAACCAAAAAGAAACTTAATATCACTGAAATACTGGAAATGACTAAGGAGTTGAAGGCAATGCGCTTACATGGCCATGCTTGAAATACTAATTTAGCTCACATTATTAGTTGTTAACTGGCAGAGTTTTTTCAAGTTTTTCCGACAACCTTGAAATATGCAATGTGATAGTGATAACTATAGCCATTCTTACCTTGTATCAACTTCAGCAGAGGTTCAGGGGATTGTAACTGTGATGGGAACCTTGCTCTACAAACAGGAAGAGCTGATAGGTGTTTGAACTATGGAGACAAAAACAAAGACACATCTAAGCTGGGAAAGGATTGTCTTCCAGGAGTTTGCCTTTATGAAAATTTGGAACAGCATCTAGTAAGGGAAGAAGCCATCAGGGTAAGACATAACCTGTCTTCTAACAAAAATAGAGAGAACAACTAGTTA